AAAGATGTTTGCTTAAGGAAGGATTAAGGTATAGCTTAGTGATAGGGTGGTTACCAGGTACACCCGGATTCCAACCCAACAGTGGTGAAGGGGGAACCATTTGGCAAAGTGCCAGAAGTAGAGGTGTCTGGCTGTCACAGATGAGCCTTCCCTGGGGATAAAGGACTAAAACTGAGTGAGCTTCCCCAGAGACGAGGCAGGGCTGGCCAAGGCCCCATTCATGAGCCTCTGTTGTGGTTTGGCCGGTTCAGACCTCCCAGGCTTGGGGCCTGGTGTCCAGCAGTCTAGATGAGTGTCAGCCTGTCTGTCAACTCCACATTCCCCAAGCTGGAACCTGTCTCTCCCACGTTCCCACCTTCTGGAAAGCGGGCTTCCAGTCACCCCCCCCCCCCCGTAACAGGTTCTTTTAGCGATTCAGTTGCTTGGAAAGAGCTTGATGCAGAAACAAGCACCCCAACAGGACCCTGTTTCTTTCTTTCCTTTTTCTGGGTCACTTTCCCTGTTTCGCCCTTGCAGTCTTAGAACTAGCTCTGTAGACAAGGTTAGCCTCAAATTCAGGTCCCCTTGCCTCTGTCTTCTGAGTGCTGACATTAAAGGTGTGTGCTAACTCTTAACCTAACCATTAGTACCCCAAAGGGTACTGTTCATGAGGCCCAGAAGGGAAGCTAGCCCTCCTGGGATGAGTCCAGAAATCTGATAGGCTTGAGTTGGGGACCCTGGCTGCGCTTTGGTCTGGGACAGGCTTAAGCATCCTTACATTTTCAGTCCCTAGTGGGGCCTGGGGTAGGGAGAGGGGCTGTGGGGACAGGAATGTCTCCATGTCTGGCACAGCCTCCACCTCACTGATTGTCCTTGCTGTTGGGAGCCCTCTCTGGTCTCTGAGTGCCTAGAGCTCAAGTTCATCAGATTTGTCATCGTCCTTCCTTTCTGTCCTGTACAATGGGGTCAGGAGGTCTGTGGTGCAGGTGAGCTGAAGTTCACCGAGCACTAGAGGTGGGCACTGGAGAGCAGGGTTCCTGTGTGCTGTATCCACTCTGGTTGAGCCCCCTGCTTCCCCACCTTGGCTGGAGGCTGGAGTACATCTCTCCCTGTCCCTCCCTCTCTCCCTCTCTCCCTGTCCCTCTCCCTCCCCCTCTCCCTCCCCCTCCCTCTCCCCCTCTCCCTGGTCCTCCCCTCCCCCTCCCCCTCCCCCCTCTCCCTGGTCCTCTCCCTCTCCCCCTCCCTCTCATTCTCTCTCTCACTTTCACTTAGTTTTTCTTCAATTTAAAAATGAATCTATTTTATGTGTTTGGATGTTTTGCCCACATATACATCTGTGTGCCATGTGCATGCCTGGTGCCATCAGAAGCCAGAAGAGGACACTCCTGGAACTGGAGTCAGATGTTGTGCACCACCATGTGGGTGTTCAGAATGTAGCCCAAGTTCTCTGGAAAAGCAGCCCGTGCTCTTAACCACTGAGCCATCTCTCCAGCTCCATCATACTTGCTTTAATTCAAAAGCGAAAACAGAAGTGTTATTAACTTACCAAAGTAGACTCGGCATAGCAGTGCATGCTTATAATCCCAATACTTTGAAAGGAGGCCAGATCAGAAATTCAAGGTCATCTTTGGACACATAGTAAATTTGAACACCTACTCCCTGTAGTAAGACTGTTTCAAACTGATCAACCAGTCACAACTTAGTAAATGAATGCAATGTAAACAACTTAGATGTTTATAAAATTAAAAGTGATAGCATCACTCTCCCTTCTACCAACCTTTAGGGCAGAGGTTCTCAACCTGTGGGTCAAGGTGTCAACTGAGACCTGGAAAACCGCTGGATTATGATTCATAGTAGCAAAGTTACAGTTATGAAGTAGAGAAAGTAACTTTATGGTTGGGGTCAGTACAACATGAGTACCTGCATGTAGCCCCCGCGACACAATCGGTTCCACTGATCGGGCAAAGGCCTAGAGATTTAAATAAGAGACAAGACAGTGGGTCACTTGTGGAACAGGAATGCTGGACTGCTGTTCACTGATGGGAAGGAACGGGCTTATATACTGACTCACAGCACGGTGGAAAACAATCCAGGGTCACGAATGCAAATTCTCAGGCTTAGTTCCTTCCCAGCTGAAGTGTGTTAGCAAAACAGGCAGAGTACCAATAACAACTCTGGGGTAAGGCGTTCCACTAAAACTGCAGAATGTTCTAGCCAACAGCTCAGGCTTGCTCAAGGTGCCTCGGGGGTCCATGCAGGGCCTGTACTAAAGGGTGGCAGCATTAGGAAGGCTGAGGGCCACTGGGGAGGGAGTTGCCGCTGGGGAGTTCCTTGTGGATTCGGCCCCACACTCACATAAAACAGACAAAAGCTGAATGTGTACTTCAGTTTGTAAAAACTTAAAGGCCTGGAGCTGGAGAGAGTTAAGGATGTTGGCTGTTCTTGCAGAGGGTCCCGGATCCTTTCCCAACCACAAGATGGCTCACAGCCATCTCTAACTCAGGGTCCAGGGTATTCAGTGCCTTCTGACTGCTGAGGGTGCCGGCCATGCACACAGTACACAAATATGCATGCAGGCAAAACACCCATGTGTAAAAGTAAACAAAATCTTTAAAAAGCTAAAAATGCCTTTAAATTAAAAAAAAAGAGAGAGAGAGATCGAGATCAGGGGTATGGTCCTCTTTCAGAGGACCTAGGTTCAATGTCTACCTGGCAGCTCACAACTCTCTGTAACTTCAGTTCCAGGGGATCCAATGTCCTCTTCTGGCCTCTATGGGCACCAATCTCACAAGGTGTGCACAGACACACATGCAGCCAAAATACCCACATATATAAAATAAGGTTTAAAAACTACAAAAATTTTATTATAAATTTTAACTTATTGTATGTACATGTGCCTGCTTGCCTGTGTGTAAATCACATGTGTGCTGGTGCCCTCCTAGGCCAGGAGAGGGCATCAGAACCCTTGGGATTTCCTGCCTTAGCGCCCCACCCCCAACCCCCTGAGCCACCACACTCATCCTGAAATAAACGGGGTCAGACTCACTACATTTGAACCAACACTGGTTCCTGAGTCATGTTGAAACTTCTCGCCTCCCTCACTACTTTGAGAGGGGCCATGGTGGTCTCAGAGACCAGGCATTCACAGGCATGTTACCACAATGAATAAAAACATCTGGTTTTTTATCCTTCTTTTGAACCTTTTTGTTGCGTTTTATTTATTTATTTATTTATGGGGTGGGGTAGAACTCTACAGTGCATATGTACAGGCCAGAGGACAACTTGCAAGAGTGGATTCTCTCCTTCTACCATGAGTGAGTGTCTCAGGGATCTAACTCAGGTCATCAGGCTTGGTGGCAATCACCTTTACCAGCCACAAACTTTTCTTTTAAAATGTGACATCCTAATTTTGTGATAGGCTGAGCTGTCTCCATTCTATTATTACATTATAATGCATATGGACACGATAAGCCTCTTGAACTCAATATCCATGGTTACTGTAATGTGCACTGCTCTTCAGGGCTCTTAAAACTTTAATTGGTGTACAGGCACTATCTCCTGCTCTTGGCAGGGCTGTATAGGTTTCTTTTTTGTTTGTGTTCTAGTCAGTGTTATATTGCTATGAAGACACCATGACCACAGTAACTCTTACAAAAGAAAGTGTTTAATTGGGGGATGTGAAATGGAAACCAAAGTGGTTACCCCACATAAAGCTCTTAAAACTTGCTTTCTACACTTAAGTGTCCTGTAAATGTCCCAGCCATTGTCTCCTGGTATGCACTTTGACTCCCGAGCTTCATTTTTCCAGCCTCTTACAGTTTATGGGCAGGCTATGTCTGTTTTTATTTAACTAGTCTCCTAACAGGCTACTTAGGTTGCTTCTTCGAATTCGCGAGTGTGTGTGTGTGTGTGTGTGTGTGTGTGTGTGTGTGTAAGCCAAAGGTGAACCTCACTAATCTGGAAGACTCAGATAAGGTAATCTAGCTAGGGGCATTTCCTTGTCTTTACACCTCCAGAGTAATTCCATATCTGGGATTACAAAAACATCTATGCTATCACCAAGTGGTGGTGGCCCATGCCTTTAATCCCAGCACTCGGGAAGCAGAGGCAAGTGGATCTTTGTGAGTTTGAGGCCATCCCAGTCTACAAAGCAAGTTCTAGGACAGCCAGGCTATATTTGCATATATGTCTATGTACCACATATATGTGTAGTGTTCATGGAGGCCAGAAGAGGGCACCACTTTCCCCAGGACTGTGCTGGGAATGGACCCCAGGTCCTCTAGAAGTAGACAGTATTTTTTGTTTGTTTTTGAGACAGGGTTTCTCTGTGGCTTTGTAGGCTGGCCTGGAACTATCTCTTGTAGACTAGGCTTGTCTGGAACTCACAGAGATCCTCCTGCATGTGCCTCCCGAGTGCTGGGATTAAAGGCGTGTGCCACTACCGCCCGGCTAGACAGTATTTTTAACTGTTGGACCATCTCTTCAGTCCCACGTTGCCCCCTTTTGGTCACGTAAAATAACATAATGAATAAATGAATATGTGGGGGTTGAGCCAAGGTCTCCCTATGTCGCCCTGGCCAGCCTGGAACTCACTATGTCTGCCAGTTTTCCATCCTCCTTCTACTTTCTAAGTGTTGGGCCTAGAGGCCTGCACCACTACATTTTGAGTCCTTCTCTCCATTTTCCAGCCATAAGGAAATAAAATAATATATTTGGTTGCCGGGGGCGGGGGGGTGGTGGTTACTGCTGTGTCTCAAGGTGGAGAAGCCCAGGGAGTTATTGACTAGAGTTCAAGGCCAGAGATCTCCACGTCTGTTTCCCTATCGGAGGTCTTGGTGACCACATTAAGAAACAGAAATGGACCAGACTGAATAAATAGTATGGGAAGTTATAGGAGAGCATCCCTCCTTTCCCTGAGGCGGGGCCACTCATAGCCGGAGGCTCCGCCTCCCGCCTGGCCGGAGCCGGGTCTGTCTGTGAGGTCGGCGCTAGGACCCCGCGGGCCGGAGCCGCGGCGGGGCCTTGGCGGCCGGAGCAGCGTGGACCCCGGTTCTCGGCTCCCGGCGCCATGTGAGGAGGTTCGGGGGCCGCGGGGGGCCTGGCGCTCCCCGGCGGAGGTGAGCGGGCGCTGTGCGGGCAGCTGTGCGGGGGCTGTGCCTGCGCCGCAGGGATGGAGAGCCTCTGGGGAGGGGGACTCCCGGAGACCCACTTTCCTTGCTAACCGCGCCCCGAGATCTAAAGGCTCCCGGGGTTCGCTGGGCCTCCCGTTTTGGAGACGGGAGACCCTGCTGCGGCCCCGCGCTCCTCTCCTGCGGAGCAGCTGCCGACCCCGAGCTGCAAAAGCCGGAGGGGGCGCGGGGCTGAGCCTCCCACGCGGCACTTGGGGTGCCATGCCACCGGCACCCGGAGAAGCGAAGCCCCAGACCGAGCTCAGGGTGCGGCCCTTACCCGCAGCTCAGCGCTCAACCTCGTACGTCTAGCCTCGCGGCTGAGCACGGGCGCCAGGGATGTCACCTCTCCAGCGGAGTCAGCCGCTCCCCATCAGGCCTGTCCACTCCGCGCCGGGCTAGAGGTCTGGCGCCCGCAGGGACTGGCGGAGGACCCTCCTGGGAGACCCTTTCGGGCTCCGCCCTGTAAACAAGCGTGTCTACAAGGTTCCCTCTGCTTGCTCCGGCGGGCTGCAGGGCGCGTTGCCTCTCTGATCGCTCAGTCTCCTCATCTGTGAAATGGGGAGCAAGAGCACCTACCAGGCCGCGTTGCCAGGATTCTGTAGGCAGGCAATGCTTAGCGTGGCTCCGGGGCATGTTCCATAATATAGGGGTAGTCCCTGGCTTGGGGTCAAGAGGGGGAGGATTGTTTTGGGGACAGGCTTGTGCAGGGGCGGGCATTGAACCCTAAGGCTAAGGGACATCACTTTTAAGCCCTGGGCACCCTTTGTCACATCTGCATGCATCCTTCCAGTCACCCCAGGAGTTACCAGTTCTTATCATTCCCATTTCACAGATGAGGAAACTGAGGCTCAGAGAGGTCACATGGCTTGCTCGAGGCCCCCCAGCCAGTAAGTGTGGACCTGACATTCGCGCTGGCATCTGACATGCTGTCCTGATCATGGCCTTCTCAGAGCAGGACCGTGATGGGGCTGACCAGGGGAACCGTGGTCCTGGCTGAGGGCACTGCTCAGGCAAAGGTGGGAAAGTGGGGCGTGGGCCTGGGACCTGGAGTGCTCCAGGTGTCTGGAGCACGGGGCATGTGCACGACAGGGTAGTAAGATGAGGTCTATGGGGGAGCTGAGGCAGACCCGAGAACGCTTTGAATGCTGGAGGTGGCAGGGTTAAGGGGACGACTCTGAGGTTCTGTATTCTGGACCCCTGTCTAAGGCTTTGAGTCCAAGGACAAGCCGCGCCTCCCTTCCGATGAGCCTCAGTTTCCTGGCCTGCCCTGTGGGGACAGATGGGAGTCTGTGGTCTCCATGACTGAAGGTGCAGGGATGGCCCAAGAGAACCCAGAATCCCGGGGAGGGCAGAGGGGGAGGCCACGGGGCGGGGCCAGGCTTGGCGATGGGAGGGGCCAGACCTGACCAATCCGGAGCAGGGTGAGTGTGTGGCGCTCTGGCCTGAGGTTTCTAGCTATTCCTGGTGTGGGAGTAAACAGCAGCTAGGTCAGGGGGCGGAGATACTGACAGGAACAGAGAGGCTCCCGGGGGAGCGCTCCGAACCGGGGATTCCCTCTGATGGCCCAGGCCCAGTTTTCTTCCGTTTTATACCATCCCTTTCTGCCTGTTGGGCTGTAGCTGTCGGAGGAGGTGGACTACACATCCGAATACTTACAGCCTGCTTACAGGTGGGGAAATGGAAGTGTAGAAGGGCTCTAGACCCAGCGGTGGGGGAGAGGGTTAGGGATAAGGCACGCCGCTGGTCCGCAGCAGGCAGGCTAGGCCAAGGCTGAGATTGGATCCATCCCTCGGCTGAGACACCGCTGTACCTCTGAGAATCATGGCTGTGCCCTTGACCCCAAGATCACACTGGCCAATGACTGAATTCGTTGAGTCATATCGTTCAGAGGTCTGTGAGGTGGCCCCTGGGGAGAGTCGAGGATCTAGGAAACTTGAACCAGCCCCGCTTGAAGTAAGAGTGGGACACAGGACACAGTAGATGCAACTCTGAGCCTGAAAGTTTGGGGCATGTAGGAGAGCTTTTGGGTAGACGTGAGACCTGTGATCCAGCCGCATCTAGGGGAGGGCCTCCGGCCATAACCCTTTCTGGTGGCTTGCAGGTGTGACCCCACAACCTTGCCCCCCGGGCCACCTGCAGGACGCTGGCCCCTACCCCTCAACAGACGCCGGAGAGAGATGAGTAGCAACAAAGTAAGTCCCCTCTATTTTTTACCCCCATCTGAGCTGCTCCAAGTCTTCTGTGGAATGGACTCTGAAAACCCTCCCTGGACTGGCACTGCCACTCCTACCCACACAGGAGGCTTTGGTTCAAACTCTGCTTCAGCCAATGAGCCGCTGATGTGGGAGGCTCTTGCCTCTTTCCAGGCCCAGTGTCCTCTGATGTCCTAGGCTTGACTTATCTGTGGGAAAGCTGACTTATCTTTGTAAAGTTGTCTGTGGATGCTGAGAAGGAAATGGGGTAGGGAGGTGAGCAGGGGCTTTGGGGAAATGGCAGTGTTCAAAGCCAGAGTAGCTGAGTTTCCGGCACGTGTTTGTTCATGTTTTCTGAGTAGTACCTTCTATGTGTTTGACACCTTCCTTGGGCTCCATGGCAGAATGTGAGATTTGAAAGTGGGGCATGTGGTTTGGTAGTCTCAGTCTAGGAGAAAGATAACACAGTCCTTTGACAGGGGTGATTTATTACAGAGACTTGGCAATGGGGCACAGAGCAACAGAGAATGGGACTCTTAATCCCAGCACTCAGGCGGATCTCTGTGAGTTCCAGGGCCAGCCTGGTCTACACAATGAATGCCAGTACAGCCTGACCTAAATAGAGAGACCTGTCTCAAAACAAACAAACAAAAAGAAATGTGTGTGGGGGGGGGGTCTCTGACTTGTCATGGCTAGACTTAGGAAATTTGTTTTTGTTTTCGTTTTTGTTTTTTTTGCATGTGTCAGGGTCTTGAATATTCCAGGTTGGCCTGGCTATGTGGTCTAGGATGACCTAGAACTTCTGATCCTCCTGTTTCCACCTACCAGGTGCTGAGACTTGAGGCCTGTATCACCATCCCCAGTTTATGTCATGCTGGGAATCAAAATCCGGGCTTTGGGCATGCTAGTCAAGTTCTCTGTCAACTGACCTGCACCCCCAGCTGCCAGATGTGGGCTTTCTGAATTTTGGTGATGCAAATAATGCTAAGCATTCAGTGGGACCTACACTTGAAACCTGAGGTTTTGTTGGTTATGCTACCCTGGTGATACTGGGTGGGGCTGAGGCCTACAGCTTCAGGAGACACGCTCTGCTGTGCAGTTGTTGCTGTGCAGTGCTGGCTGCATGGATTAAATGCCTTTTCTCCCTTCTGATATTTCCTACTTGCAGTGGGTTGATCAGGAAGCAACCTGATTGTTAAATCCAGGACTAGGTGTAGGCCCCAGGGGGCTGAGGGCAGGCACAGTTGTAGCCCACTCACCTTCTACCACCTGACCCTGCCAAGGCTTCTGGTTGAGTGCCCTGGAGAAGCTGAACTTTAAATAAGTTGTGGTCCCAGTAGGAACCAAAGGGACTGACTTAGGGGGCCTACCCAGAGTGCCTTCATTCTTACAGTGTCTCTCTAGCGCCCTCTACTGAGAAGTCTTAAAATGCTTTGGCAAGTAGAAATACTGAAAAGAGCCCAAATCCAGTTTCACCAAGTACAAAGATACACATGGAGTGAGAAGCATATTCCTTCATATTTATAAGGCCTTGCTCCCAGGAACTCCTGAGGAGACAGAAATCCAAGGGTGTGAGCTTAGGTTCTTCATATGGGATGGCTTACTAATTGCATATAACCCATACGACACATGTAGTTTATCATTGTTAGATAGCTTATAATGCCTGACCCAATGTGTGCAACAAAAACTGCTGGTATGGTGGTACCTGCTTCTCATCCTAGCACTTAGGAGGTGGGGGCAGGAGGATCAGTAGATCAAAGCCAGCCTTGATTGCATAGTGACTTGGAGGTGGCATGGGATATATGAGACAATTTTTAAAAAAAAGAAAAAAAATTCACAAAATTAGGGACTAATAACAAGACATGAGGCCTATATATGTTCAGAACTGGTACAACTCTTGTAGGCCTGACTACACTGTTGGTTGTGGTTTGTTCAGTCTACAAACCTGAAGGTGTGTGTGTGTGTGTGGCCAGGTGTACTCTGACAACTTATAGAGAGTTACTGTCACTGGAAACTCTGGATCCTTGCGTTTGGATGGCCCTCTCCCCACCTCTGTCTAGGCATCCCCTACAGGGAACCCTGTCACCTACAACCAGTTCAGTCCAGGAACACTTTTTTCCTGTACTCTATAGCCCAGGCTAACATCAAACTTGTAGCAAGCCTCAGCCTGCAAAGCACTGGGAAGCATGCAGCACCATTCTGGGCTCTCTTAAGCTCCTTCTGCAGACCTCACTCAGGAGCTTGGGGAACAAGGCTGACCCAGCCTTAGTATTCAGAGCTACAGGGCTAGTTTGAAGGGATAATAGTTTGCAAGTGACATGACTGGGCTGCATAGTTTAGAGGTAGGGTAATTGTCTCCTATACATGAACCATCAGGCCGGGTGGTGGCACATGCCTTTAATCCCAGAACTCAGGAGGCAGAGGCAGGTGGATCTCTGTGAGTTCAGGGCCAGCCTCAGCCTGATTTACAAAGTGAGTTCCAGGACAGGCAGGGCTGTTACACAGATAAACCATATCTAAACAAAACAACAACTCCAAAAAAAAAAAAAAAAACGTGGTTCTTGGTTCAATCCCTAGGACTGGGCAGGGGTAGGGGAGGGGGGAATACAAAGGAATGCAATAGGTGAAATGCCAGGAGAAAGGAAGTGGAACCGAACTCGCTCACCTGGTTTGTACTGAAGGGCACGGTGGGCTGCGGTCAGGTGGGGTCCCAAGCCTGCTGTGTGCGTGCCTGAACCCTCAATGGGCTCTTCCCTCTCCAGGAGCAGCGGTCAGCAGTGTTTGTGGTCCTCTTTGCTCTCATCACCATCCTCATCCTCTACAGCTCCAACAGTGCCAACGAGGTCTTCCACTATGGCTCCCTGAGGGGCCGCATGCGTCGGCCTGTCAACCTCAAGCAGTGGAGTTTCTCCAATGCCTACTTCCCAATCCTTGGAAACAAGGTAGAGCAGCTTCACTGGGGGTTCCCTGGCTGCTGATATGCCCCACCTCCCATCTCTATCCCTGTGCCTCCTAGAGGAGAGAATGCGTGAGAGTCGTGAGGCAGGGTCACAGCCCTTGGCTTGGAATGGGATCTTGGGCAGGTGCTCGGCAATGGGCCTTCGTTCTCATCAGGGTTTCTCCCTTAGTGTTAGAAAGCCTATTACCTTGGTCCAATGAGATGGCTCAGTAGGTAAGGAGCTTGCTGCTGAACATCTGGAATCCACACAGTGGAAGGAAAAAAACAGACTCCAGCCAGTTGTCCTCTGGCCTCCCCACAAGCGGGAGTGTGTTGTGGAATGTGACCACCACCAACACACATGCACACACACAGGTGTAATTTTTAAAATTAAAAAAAAAAAAAAATCTTCTGTTGTCTCCTGAGTCAGACTTCCAGTTTTCATGGATCTCTGGGAACACACCCCGATAAACTTGGGAGGAGACCCCTGAGGTTGTGGAGAACACAAAAGCAAAAACAATAATGGCTGCCCTTTCGAGTGCCAGCTGCTCAATGCTATTATCTCCCTAGAAATGATGAGGCCGATCAAGGCTGAGAGATGTGAATCACCTGGCTAAAACCAAACAACAAACAACATGGGACAACAAACAACATGGGAGGGCCAGAGATTTGCCCAGCCCCTGCTAAATTGCAGCTAGATAGAAAGGTCAAGTGCCTGGGGTCTACTGTTAAGATTCAGCACTCTACTCTCTGGGCCTGGTTTGTTAGCCAGTCATGTCTTCCCTGGGTACCTCTCTTTGTCTTAGGTATCTATGAAATTGGTATATTCAGGCTGTCTTCCCTTGCTGAATTTTCTTCAGAAAGCCTTTGTGCATCCAGGCTATGGATACACCCTGGAAAGGACCCATAGCAGGGGGTAAGAGGAATGAGAGACCAGTCGGGGAGAAAGAGTGTGGCTCTAAAGACTGTTCTTGTTGTTTCTTTCACTCTGGCTGTCCTGGAACTCACTCTGTAGACCAGACTGTCCTCAAACTCACAGAGATCCACTGACTCTGCCTCCCGAGTGCTTAGATTAAAGCATCTCCTTCCATTATGCTATCTGTCCATGACATTTTCTTTTTTTTTTTTTTTTAAGATTTATTTAATATGTATATAGTGTTCTGTGTGCATATCTGCCTGTACACCAGAAGAGGGCACCAGATCTCATTACAGATGGTTGTGAGCCACCATGTTGTTGCTGGGAATTGAACTCAGGACCTCTGGAAGAGCAGCCAGTGCTCTTAACCACTGAGCCATCTCTCCAGCTCTTCTTATGATATCTTCATGAATGTATAACTGCCTACAGAGACTCTGGCAGACATCTTGAGATAGAGGAACTGGCTGTCCTTTGCTGCTCTGTCCCTGGCTGGTTAGGAATATCCACAAACGTAGAATGAATGTGCTTTCAAGGGTCACTATGGTCCCCGGCTCCTGCAAGCCTGGCAGTGTACAGCTCAGGACCCTGCATAGAGCAACACTGATAATGCCCTCTTCTTACCCATAGACGCTACCCTCCAGGTGCAACCAGTGTGTGATCATCACCAGCTCCAGCCACCTGCTGGGCACCAAACTGGGCCCTGAGATAGAGCGGGCTGAGTGCACCATCCGCATGAACGATGCTCCCACCACTGGCTACTCAGCAGATGTCGGCAACAAAACCACATTCCGCGTAGTGGCCCATTCCAGTGTGTTCCGTGTGCTGCGGAGGCCCCAGGAATTTGTCAACCGGACCCCTGAAACGGTGTTCATCTTCTGGGGCCCCCCAAACAAGATGCAGAAGCCGCAGGGCAGCCTCCTGCGTGTCATCCAGCGGGCGGGCCTCGCGTTCCCTAACATGGAGGCCTATGCCGTCTCTCCCACCCGCATGCAGCAGTTTGACGACCTCTTCCGGGGTGAGACGGGCAAGGACAGGTACCAGCCTCCCACCTGCCCCCTGCAATCATCCCTGGCCTGATACTCAAGCATGCTCTATGTTGAGGGTGTAGTCATTTCTTGCCACCCTCTCTTGGTCAGGTTCCTCCAGCTCTCCTCAGCTGTTAACGTGGGTCATCTTCAAAGTGTTCACCTTCACCTCACCCTCCTGCCCCTGCCCCCTGCTTCTTCCCAGCATGCTCCACTGCAAGGGATAGGGGCTCCCAGAATGCTCTGCACTGTTATCATAGGTGTTCCTAGCATCTTTCTAAGTGGTACTCTCCATAGTGTGGCACCTAGAGTCTAGACTGTTCCCAGCATGCCTTGCTATAAGCACACAGGTGCTCCCAGCATTCTCTGTTCTAAGGAAACATGCTCTTTGACTAATCTCCCTAGAAAACTTAGTCCCGTCTTATATAACTACAATGTGGATCACATGTAACTTAAAATATTATGGTATCTATGTCAAAAAAGCTAACGATAATAACAGTGGGTACATTTAACTCTAATACTATTTAAACTAATACGTTCAACACTCAGCTTCTATACATATGTTGGTAGATTTATACCCGGTTATTATTTTTTTAAAGATTCATGTATCTGAGCCTTTGGCCTGCATGTGTCTGTACACTAGTTGCATACCTAGTGCCTGAGGAGGTCCTAAAAGGGTGTTCTGTCTCCTGGAACTGAAGTTACAGACCGTTGTGAGCTGCCATGTGGGTGCTGGGAATTGCACCCAGGACTTCTGGAAGGGCAGTAAATGCTCTTAATCACTGAGCCATCTCTCCAGCTCTCTTTATATCTAATTACTTTTAAAGATTTGTAGCTGTTAAAGGAGACTCTTGCACAATGGAGACTCCCTTCCAGACCCGGGATTAGACACAAACCACACCCAAACACCTATTCTCACAGAGAGATCTTTTATTAAGCAGGGAAGGAAAGTTAAAGCGGCTGCTTTCTGGCTCAGGCAGAAAAACAGCAGCAAATGCCGTTGCAGGTGTAATTTTAAGAGGAGAGGAAGGGGAGGTCTGTGTTAGAGTGGGCTAGGATGTGGTGGTAAAGGAGATAGGGGATGAGGGAGAAGGGGAAGGGGGCAAGGGAAAGGGGGCAGGGGTGTTTGTCCCAGAGGAACAAAGGACTACCTCTGGATAGAGAGAGACAGACATGGCACAGGGAAATGGCAGTTTATAAAGGTAAAGAAGGAAGCCCCATGTTAGGATGAAGTGTTTAATTTTAATTGGGCATGTTAATTAGGTGAACTAAAGGGGGCTTCAATACTTCCATAGCTGGGCCTTGGTAGTCAGCCTCAAGAAGAGGAGGTGGCCAAATAAGGGTTCAGACCTCGGTGGCTAGCTTTAGGAATCTACTCTTAGGCAGAGGGAATGGGAGAAGGGCAAGGCCAGCTAGAACCACATGCTTGAGTGGGCTAGTGTCCCTTCAGCTATTATAAGTGATAGTTTTCAATTTTTATTTTAGACTCCAAGTTACTCATTGTTAGTATGTGTGTTTGTGTGTGTGCAGGTGTACATACATGTGTGTGCATATGCATACAGAGACCAGAGGTTAAATGTTTTCCTGGCTCAATCTCCACCTTTATTCTGAGCAGTTTGTCACTTGAGCCCAGAGCTCACTGCTCTGGCTAGGCTAGCTAGCCAGTTTGCTCTGAGGGTCCCTTGTGTCCTCCTCCTGAGCACCTGAATTACAGATGGGTCACCATGCCTACCTGTGGTTTATGGGGGTGCTGGGGATATGACACCCTGACGTTTGCACAGTAAGTGCCTTCCCCACGGAGCCACCTCTCTAGCCCTGTAGCTAGTGTGTGTGTTTTAAAGAAATTACTAGTTTTTAATGTATTGTCTGTTAAATTCACTAGTTCTAGGAGACTTTTGTACATTCTTTGGATTATTCACACATTAATAATCATGTTATATGCAGACTATTTTCTTCCTTCCCAATCTGTGCCTCTTTTTTCCCGCTCACCTTGTTGCACTAGCTAGGGTTTTCAACCCAGGCTGTTTTTGCTGTAATTGTTCTTTCTAGGTTTCAGTATCAGGGCTACCCATTGAAGTGCCCCACCTCTGTTTTGTGGGTGAGATTGTGCAGAATGGATATCATTTGGTAAAGTTTGGTGGTGAAACTGTCTGGGCCTGTAGATCCCCTTTCTAGAAGACATTTATTTATTTAGTTTTTAGTCCTAGGGGTGGAACTCAGGGTCCAAAGCATGCTACACACACATTCTGCTACTAAAACTCATCCCCATGCCCCAGAGTTACGGGATACATTTTATTTAATGTTGTAGTTATAGAATGAATGTTCAGACCAGGTGGTGGTGGCACACGCCTTTAATCCTAGCACTTCGGAGGCAGAGGCTGTTGGATCTCTGTGAGTTTGAGGCCAGCCCGGTCTACAGAGTGAGTTCCAGGGCAGGCTTCAAAGCTACAGAGAAACCAAAAAACAAAAAGTTCAGGCAACATCTTTCATCTTGGGGAGTTCAGGGTTTTATGTAAGGTGTCAGATCTGTATCTGTAGTTATTTGTGGGATTTCCCTTAGTATTCGTAAAGAAGTGTGGTCATTTCTCTTATTGCCATCTTTGGCAGCGTGTGTCCTCTTTGTTCTCTTTGTCACACTTGTTACAGGGATGCTTTTCAACGTTCCAGAGAGTCGCTTTCCACCAAGTACATGAAAAATATTTTCAGTTTGAGATGTAATTAGGGCTGGAGAGATGGCTCAGTGGTTAAGAGCAGCTGCACTGTTCCAGAGGTCCTGAGTTTGGTTCCCAGCACCCACGTCAGGACAGACTGCTCACAGGCCCCTGTAACTCCAATTCCAGTTGATCTGACACCCTCTGCTGGTCCCCATGTGCACTGCATTCTTATGGTGTATGCACACAGACATGGGTGGATCTTTTTGAATTTGAGGCCAGTCTGGTCTACATGGCAAATTCAGAACAGCCAGGGCTACATAATGAGAACCCTGCCTCAAAAGAAACAAACAAACAAAACAATGTGTGTGTGTGTGTGTGTGTGTGTGTGTGTGTGTGTGTGTGTGTATAGTCAACATCAAACACTATGAGTGACATATTACACATTCTGCTTTTCATACTACCCAAGGGCTCCAGTGCATATTTGACATAGCATCTCTCAGATACATATCAAGTGCTTACTAAGCCCCATGTAGCTGGTGGCTGCTATAGCCCCAGGGCATGGGCTATTCTTTATGCCCTGCTCTGTGGTCCCCTCAGCATCATCTTCTCTGCTACTCTCCCCGTAGGATTTTGGTCCCAGAGGAGGGACAACTGCTACTAGCATGCCTTATGGTCATGGTTACTCCCGGTCTGCCCTGTCTAATTAGTCTCTTGAGTTCATGACCTATATCCACTGTGCCTGTCCCCTTCCTTCTCCAGCCTGAGTGCTCTCACAGTGGGTGGTACACAAGTGTCTGAGCCTGGACAGACAGTAGGTAGAGCTTCTGGGAATCTCTATGGGGGTTGACCATCTCTCTTTGCCTGTTCACCATCCCTGTCTGCATTGCCCTTCACTGAGCTCCTCTCTGCCCCTAGGGAAAAGTCCCATTCCTGGTTGAGCACAGGCTGGTTTACCATGGTGATTGCGGTGGAGTTGTGTGACCACGTGCACGTGTATGGCATGGTGCCTCCTGACTATTGCAGGTGAGCTCCCCTGGGCACTACCTCCTGAGGACCATGCCCCGTTAGTGGTTACAGCGTGGAGCTGGGAGGTCTGGAGACAGTGCTGAGGGTACCTGAGGGCCTCTTTTGGATAAATTCTTGCTGGTCTGCAGAGATAGCTTCTTGGAGCTACCCCAGGGGCTTCCGCTCCAAGCTGAGTCTTCAGTTTGTTTGTTGGTCCTGACTGTATGAAAGTCCCGTGTTTTATTGAGTGCTGACCATGCACTCATCATTTCTTCACACAATGCCAGGGTATTGTCTTCCCCATTTTACACATGAGTGCAAATGAGGAGAGTGTTTAGTGAGGGGGGCTAAGGTCTCAGAAACTGTAAGGGGTACCAGGCCTCTGAGCCCACAGTTCTTAACTGTTGCCTTGCCCCCAGGTCCCACTACTGCTCTGCTGGGGAAAGAAAAAGAGCTCCATTTTGTTTAAAAGAAGCTTGATGGTTCAACAAGCTTAGTTCACCATGCCCACACTTTATAGATGGGGAAACTGAGGCTTGAGGAAGGGTAGAGATTTACTTTGCTGAGGTGCTAGAGTAGGTGAGGGTGGAGGAATAAAATACCCCTTACAGGTGTCCACCTTGCCCCATGCCCTGACTCCCCTGTCTGCTGTGCCCAGCCAGCGGCCCCGCCTGCAACGCATGCCATACCACTACTATGAGCCCAAGGGGCCGGATGAGTGTGTCACCTACATCCAGAATGAGCACAGCCGTAAGGGCAATCACCACCGCTTCATCACCGAGAAGAGGGTCTTCTCATCCTGGGCCCAGCTCTACGGCATCACCTTCTCCCACCCCTCCTGGACCTAGCCGTGCTGTCTTTGCAACCTTGGAGAGATACCAGGCAAAATGGCTCTGGGCCCAACCATTTGACCATGGCCATCTTCCAGCCAGTTCAGTCTGGCTTGAGTATTTCCCAGCCAATAAAATCAGGGCCTTGATGAGGGTTTTTTTTTCCTCCAGCCAATTAGGGCTGGGGTTATCTCCTGGTCAGTCAGGGATTTGGAATTCTGTATGGTTTAATCGGGTGTCAGGGGGTCTTTCTTGTCTAATCAGGGTCTAAGCATAGTCAATCAGGGTATAGGGGTCTTTCTGAGTCACTCTGAGGCGCAGGTCATATCCTTTTCCATAAGGCCTTGCGCCAGAGCCCCAGGAATGGGCCCCAAATCATTTCCACCTCAGCTGGGACAAAGAGGTCTTGTCCCAAGGATCTGGGGACTTGGTGTTGCCCCATAGTTCCAGAATCAGAGATAGTGTATGTGGTAGGAACTGCCTGGAAGCCAGGCCAGAGTTTGTGGAGTTCTAGAAATGATACAAAGGCCTGGGAGGCGGGAGGCAGGTGTCCAGGTCCTGGTTTCTTCCTGAGTGACCTTGGGCAAGCCCTCTTCTTTCTGGCATGCCATGATGATGTCACATTCCTGAATGCAGACAGAGACCCTCACTCTACATTGTACTTAAGTGTAAATTCCCCCAGCTATCATCCCGCACTGGGGGACTCAGCTCCCTGGGGATGGGGAGCCTGGGGGCCCTTCCCCACCTCCTGGAAACTTTGGGGTATCTGTGCAAATGCCCTGTGGCTAAGGAGCTGTGACAAGTGAGGCGAACATTAACCCTTAACCTGCCTCTAGAAAGGCCAGGCCACTCTTCCTGCCCTGCAGCAGGAGACTGGTCCCCCTGCCCATGGAGCCTTTGGGATAAAGAGTCTCCCAGCCACACCAGGGCAGCCTATTTAGAGATGCTGAGGGCTTTGGGGAGAAGTGTCTTCCCCCATGTTTGGGATGGAAATAGACAGGAGCTGGGTTCCCTGGGTTCTGTTCCCTGCTCGAGCACTTTATTGAATTGGGGCTGGGTGGGGTGTGTTTAAAGCCCGCTCCTGTACAGCTTACAAGGGAAGGGCTTCCAGACGGGGGCTGTGGAGTCTGTGTGTGTGGGGTGCTGGCCAGCTCGAGTCCTTGCACACTGAGATAATTGGAGGGGGGCAGCAACAACCCGATCTGGTTTTGTAATGATTTATACAGAAATAAACACACCTAAGCCCCAGCTCAGTGTTCCGTTTCTTGAGTCTGCATTTTTGCCTGTGTCTTCTCTCCCAGCCTGGAGTATCCTAAGGACCAGTATGTGTTTGAGTTAGGAACCTGCATGAAGGGCGTCAATCCTCTGTTCCGGCTGCCTGGGGAGTCTTGGGTCCAAACCCCATAGATCTGATATTGGGCAAGGCATTTTGTCTCTGGAGTACCAGTAGTTACATACTGCTGTCAGGGAGCTCGGGTTCTGGGGAGGGAAGAATTCTGACAAATTGGGGTAAGTTGAACAGTTGAAGAGGAAGGAGAAGGGCTATAGGGAAAGAACAATGGTCTGGGACCAGAAAGCAGCACTGGAACCTGGGGCTGAAGGCAGGAAAACATCCTTCCAGATAGAGTGAGCTTGACAGGTTGTAAACATGGCTGCCAGTCTCTTAGCACAGGATTGTTGTGCTAAGAGAGGTGAAGGGTCCCGACTCCAGAGAGGAAATTACAGTCTGTTAGAGCAGATAAGATTCCCATGGGAGTGAGGCCTAACAAAGGGTGACTGTGAGACAGGACAGGCTGCAAAGGGGCTAAGAGTTGTCCTGGGCTTCAGGCCAGGCAAGATGGTGGGCCGGGGTGGGGGTGGGGCTAGAGAGACACCTAGTATTTGTTCCTTGTCCCATATGGTCCATTAATCACCAGATGCCACAAGCCATATTAGGTGGCCCCAGGGAAAGAGTGTCACCTGGGACCAGTAACTTAGTGACACCAATAAGGGCCAGCAGCCAGGACTATCCCGATCCCTCTCCACCCTCCCCCACTCCCATCCGAGGGTGGCAAAGGCTTGGTGCTTATCTGCAGCCAGCCAGCCATGGGGCAGCAGCAGGCCAGGCAGGGAGGAGGGCGGCAGGATCAGGAGCTGAGCAACAATCATTGTGATGCCAGCATCACCAAGGGGACTGGAGAAGCAGTGTCATAATAAGGGTTACTTGAGCCCTGTGTGGGCCTGGAGACACAGCACACTTCCAACTCCATGTAGAGGCTTCTGGAAAACTTCTCCTGGCCAATTTTGTGTGAGCAGAATTTCTTCCATAATACTGGGCGGCCTCTGCCTACCCACAGGTGGGTGTGAGGAGGTCAGATGTTGAATACAGACCTGTCACTGGGAAGTCAGTTGAGCTGAGGGCTGGAGGTCCCAGGGCCTAGACCCCCCACCACCTCACCTCACATGGTACCCACTGGAAACTTGCTGGTTTCTGAAGCCCACCTCTCTGAAATCGGTGGCTCTGAAATCATCCGTGGCTCCCCATTCATTCCCTGGCCAGGAGCAAACCTGCCTCATTCGGCATTTGAGGTTTTCCAGGCACTATGTCTGTGCCTGCACTCTTTGGGGGGGCAGGATGGGGGGCGTTCTGTGACGCCATGGCTCCTCTCCCTCTGCCAGAGGGCCTCTCTGTCTCCTATTGCATCTCACCTAAAGTAGCTGCACAGCCTTCCCTCCCGTCCGTTCTCAGCTTCCTCCCCAGATGTTTCCTGCGGATGTTGGTGGTTGTGCCCCATCAGTCTACCTGGGCTTGCCCACTCCTATCCCTTCTCTAACTAACCCACAGCTGATTCAGCTGTGGGCTTCAGGGTGACCAGCCACTGGCCCAGGGTCATCTACCCTCGCCCGCTCTCACCCCATGGGGCTTGGATTCAAGCCCTGGAATTTTCTGTAGTCAAAACTTTTATTTTAATTTTAGTTTTAATTATGTGTCTATGTGTGGACATGTACATGTGAGTGCAGGTTACCACGGAAGGCAGGAATGAAGAGCTGGAGTTAAAGGCTGCTGAGAGCCATGCCGTTGTGGGTGATTGGAACTAAACGTGGGTCCCCTGGACAGTAGTGCCCACTCTTCATTGCTGAGCCATCTCTCCCACCCTCAAAATATCTCTTAAGTTTTAAACTACTTTGACTCTTTTGTTTTATTTTTTTGAAGACAAGGTTTCTCTGTGTAGCCTTGGCTGCCTGGAACTTGCTCTGTAGACCAGGCTGGCCTCAAACTCAGAGATCTACCTGCTGGGACTAAAGGTGTGCCCCACAACCAACCTACTTAGAATGTTTTAGTTAGAAAATAATTAACTGGGGGCTGGACAGATGGCCCAGTGGTTGTTGCTCTCCCAGAAGACCCAAGTTCAATCCCCAGCACCCATCTCAAATGACTCACAACCACTTATAACTCTAGCTTCAGAGGATCTGAAGCTCTCTTTTGACCATTACAAGCACCTTTATAGGACATATGTGAACATTCACACATATACATAAAATAAAAATAGAATCCTAATGGGGTAGTGGTGACACACACCTTCAATCCCAGCACTTGGGAGGCAGAGGCAGACTGATCTCTGTGAGTTTGAGGCCAGCCTGATCTACAGAGCAAGTTCCAGGATAGGCTTCAAAGCTACACAGAGAAACTCTCTTAAAAAAAAAAAAAAAATTCCTAAAGCCAGCATAGTATCACATATCTTTAATCCCAGCATTGAGGAGGAAGAAACAAGCCAGACTCTGTTAATTTGAGGTCAGCCTGGTCTACAGGGTGAGTTCCAGTATAGCCAGGGACACATAGACAGAAACAAAGCAAAGGAAAAAGAAAAAGAGTGTTTATGGTGGAGATGGTGACTGCTGGAGAGGTGGTCGATGGTATGAGCACTTGTTCTTGTCCAGGATCTGAGTTTGATTCCCAGAACCCACCCAATAGCTCACAACTGTGGCACAGCAGGTCCTCATGCATGGGGACTGCAGTTTCAGTCCCACAAGCCATGTGGCCTTTCATAGCCATCCGTAATTTCAGTTTCAGAGGATCCCATCTTTTCTGACCTCTGTGAGCACAAACCTGCAAATACATGCAGGCAGAGGCTCACACATTAAATAAATAAATCTAATTAGACAAAAAACTTTTCCTTTTTAATTAAAACACAGAGCCAGTTAGATGAGCCAGCATTTCAGGGTGCTTGCTGCCAAGCCTGACCACCTGAATTCAATCCCTGAAACTCACATGACGGAAGGAGAGGACTGAATCTTGCAAGTTGTCCTCTGACCTCCACAAGAGTGCATAGCACATGTAGCCCACACATTCATGTGGCCCCACACATAACAACGAATGCACAAGAAAGAAATTATAAAAGAGCTGTGGATATATTAGCCCAGTTGGAACAGAGCTCACTTAGTGTGCAGGGCCTCTGTCTCCACCCTCAGCACCACAGAAACTGGGCATGATGGAGTGTTTATTTATAATCCCTGCACCCAGGAGGCAGGGGTTCAGGAGGGAGGAGGCGAAGAGGGAACGACAGGAAAGGGGAGGAAGTTGGGGTACATAGAGGAAAAAATCCGAGGTCAGGCTCCACTGCACACCAAGATACATGTACAGTAGGATTACTCTTTTTTAGTTTCTTTTTAGAATTCTGTGTGTATGAGTGTTGTGCCTGCATGGATATCTGCACCATGTGAGTGTATGATGCTATGGGAAGTTGAAAGAGGGTATCAGGTCCCCTGGAAATGGAATTACAGTTGTGAGCTGCCATGTGGGTGCTGGGAACTGAACCTGGGTCCTTTGCAAGATTAAGTACTCCTAACCACGGAGCCAGCTTCCTCCCCACCCCGTTTTTTGAGATAGGGTGTCTCTGTATCCCTGGCTATCCTGGAACCCTCTATGTAGACCAGGCTGGCCTTAAATTCTGACACCCCTGGAACGTTCAGTGATGCTGCATGCCTTTAATCCCAGCACTAGAGAGGTAGAGGAGGTAGATCTCTGTGAGTTAGAGGCCAACTTGGTCTAATAGTGAGTTCCAGGACAGTCAATGCTATACTTAGAAACCTTGTCTCAAAAAAACAAGCAAAAAATTCTGATACACGCTTTATATGCAAGGATGGTCTTGGATTTCTGATCCCCTGCCTGTCTCTCAGTGCCATGGTGTGACTGGGGCTTGAACCCTTCCTTACTCAGATCTTTTGACAGACAGGCTCTCCACCTCCCATGCCTCTTGCTGTGCCATGGCCCCAGTCAGTTGCAATTGGCATTAAGAACCTTCCTGCAGGAACTCTGTCCCCACAAGTGTTTACTTGAATGGGTTTCTAAAAGTAGGATCTGGCATCATCAATCTGCTTCTCCCAAAAGTCGTGCCAATGCACTCACCTAAGTGTTTAAAAGGGCCCTTCAGACCAACTCAGGACCTCTGGTTCACTGCATCTGCCCCCCCCCCACCTGCTTGATGTCACCAGTGGCAGAGTTGGGACTAGATCAGGCATCTTGGTATCCATGCTGCTGCTGTTGCTAAGGCAACATCCAAACCTTTTGTGGCTCCCTAGTTTTTACAAGACAATTTCCAGTTTCTGCCTATTGTGCAGTTTGGAGCCACTGCCTGGTTTTATGTGGGCTGATGGTCAAATGCATGAGCTCTGAACCTTGCCGGTCCTGGGTTCTCATCTTTACCTGCTGTTTCTGAGTACCTAGTACCCTGTGCTAGTTGTCTTGTGGAGTGTTCCATAAGCATGTGGCTTCCCACCCAGGAGCCGGGTGGCTGCTGGCTGCTCCTCTATGCTTAGCAGGTCCCTGGGCACAGCTGGTCTGCTGCTGGCATAATGCTCCACCCAGGTGCTCACAAATAAGAGTTCTCATGGTTTACATACCCCCAATCTGACACACAAAGCTTCCTGAAGTCCCTCTCTCAAGTGTTCAACTACATGGCACTACCCAGCTGCTTCACGGGGTCAGCTTATCTATCGTCTACCTAGCCACCAGATCTTTGGGGTCCCAGAGGAGCTCATAGTCTTTCCCAACAAGAATATCTCAGGGTAGGGGTTTCAGAGCTTGAGGACTGTGACCCTTGAACCCCCTTGCTCTTAATTCCCTGGTCTAGCCTCTTTACCACCAACACAGTGAGATCTTATACTTACAGCTCCACTGTCTGCGAGTCAGTTCCTTCAGCTATAGAAACCTTGTCCGTGGGGAAGTGATGTGAGCATAGTGTGGGTGGCAGAAGAACTTCTGTGTACAGGTTCAGTCCCTGGGGGTGCCTGTTGGGGACGCTCACTCCTTCACCAGGCTTTCCATCAGAGGCCCTGCTTCCTCTCCGCTCCTCCTTCCCGCCCTCTCCCTCCTCCCTTCTCTCTCCCTGCCATCTCGCCAGAGTGCTGGCTCCCAGCATGCCATGCGTGAGCACACTGACAGCCTTATAAATAGTCGCCTTTGCAGGCGGCTGAGAGGACGGGCAGGGCACACACTGGTCCCAGCGCCCACCACACCCTTCCCCAGGTCAGTGTGTGACTGATCCATTGTCTGCCGGTGTGGATACCTCCAAGGGGAGTAGGGAGACATTACCTGTAGGAAGGGGGGGGGTGCTCCTGTCAGTCTACCCTTGGGTTCTGTGTGTCTTGTGTGTTTGTTGTTTGTATCCATGGTTATGAACTGTGTATTTGCATGTGTGTTCTATCAGCTCTGGGTGCACGTGCCCTGTGACTGTGTGTGTGTGTGTGTCCTCCCAACCTCCAGACCCCTTTGTCCAGCTAATATTCCAGGGTCTTCAGGTCTGTGCCCTTCTCTGCTAAGGCCCTAAGGGAAGGGGGACAGACAGTGGCCTAGCTCCCTGCCCCAAAGGACCTAGGTAAGGGCAGCCTGTGTGCCTTTGGAGCTGTAGTGTCACTTTGAATGTTGGAGGCCTGGGGTATCTGGATGTTGGAGCCATGCCAGCACCTCCTGCTGAACCAGGGGCTCTGAAGGAGCTTTGGGGCCTGACTCACAGCTCTGGTCAGCTTTCACCTAGGGCACTCCAGCAGGAGCAAGGCTGGCCAGAGAGGGGGCAGCAGCTGCCCAAGGTCACCCAGCTGAGTGATGGAGTTGTGATTCGAACCCGGTGTGGTTGCTAGTCTCTGTGAGAGCTTCCGAGGGACGTGCATCTGGGACAACCAGGCCTTGTGATCGGAGATGGTTGTCCCTGGGAGCCTGTGCTCCCTGAACCACCTCAAAGACCACTGCTCAGCTGTGTTAGCAGTCACTGGGGCCCTGGCCCAGGGAGCCTTATAAGGCCCGACTTCTCAGCCTGTAACCTTACTCTGTCTGGGACCCCTGGCCTCCTGGAGGCCTCCTCACCACCTAAGTTATTTTAGGCCAAGGAGGTAGCAGGTGTCTGTGGGGCAGAGGGGCTGAGGTTACCAGGAGGGGGTGGGGCAGGTGGGGTGGGGTGTCTTCCTAGGACATCTGGTGGCTGTCCAGAGTCTGGGCCACTCCTCTCCTGGGCAGCTGCCGAGGGGGTTGGCAGTGCCTTGCATCCTCTGCAGGTCTAGAGGCTGTAGCTCAGGCCATGTATGTCTGCAAAGTTGCTCAAGGTAGTTGTCCGGGTTGGGGTGCCAGGCCTGAGCTTGACCCCAGCCAGAGGCTGGGGCTAGTGTGCCTTCCTCTCCAGGGCCCAGTCCCTCCCCAGATAGAATGAGGGACCCAGTTCAAGGCTCATCTCCTGCCAGACCCAATCAGGGGCAGGCACAAGGCCCATGGTGCAAGAAATTACATAGTCTGACACCGTATGCTGGGTACTCTGCCACCAGAAGTTCAGAGGGAACACCTGTGGGATTGTGGGGTAGAATCTAGGAAGGCATCCTGGAGGAGGTGAGACTTGGGCTGAGATTTCCAGCAGCACTGGAGAAAGACATCCCCCAAGAATTGGGTGTTACACTGCAAAGGCCTGTGGGCAGGTGGGCTGGTATGAGAAAGCAGGGCCAAGCCCTGCCAGCTAGGATGAGAGGTTCAGGTTTGATTTAGGGAGCCAAGAGGACAATACATGGAAGGCTATGAGCAGGAGGGTCTATTGTTGCTTGCCAAGGAAAATACATCTGCCCATTGTCCCATTGTTTGGAGTGTGTGTGTGTGTGTGTGTGATACCCTAAGGCTCTGTGGAGGCAGGCTATGGTCTAGGTTGGAGAAAGGCTGGAGAGAAGGATGTTGGGATATGAGTATGCAGGGCAGAGGTGGGATGGGGTTGTGGGGAGCATGCATGCCCACATAGGACTGACTACAGGAGGGGATGGAGTGGTCCCTGGAGCCTGAAGCCAGAGTGAGAGGACAGAAGTGTGGATCAGGGACACAGACCCAGGGCAGAAGGCTGGCACAGTGAAGAAGTTCCCCACGGGGTGAGTGGCAGGGTCCTGTGTGAGGTGGACTTGGCCTGCTTCAGTTTAAAAACTGAAAAAGGACTAGAGAGATGGGCTAGCAGCTGAGAGCACTGGCTGCTCTTCCTAAGACCCATGTTCTGATTCCAACACCCACATGGTAGCTCACAACCACTTGTAACTCTAGTTCCAAGAGATTTGACACCCCTTTCCGGCTTTTTCACGTACTAAGCACACATGGAACACTTACATGCAGGCAACATTCTTACACATGAAATTAAAAACAACAGAACAAATAAACCACAAAGAGTCAGGTGTGGTAAACATTCCAGCAGTCCCTGTACTGGAGAGGCTGAGGCCATAGAGCTGCTGTTAGTTTGATGCTGGCCTATACTAAGAGAATGACCCCTCTCTTAAACAGAACAAAACAAACTGTAAAGGATTGTGCACCAGTGTGTCTTAGAGAATTCTTTTGCCCACTTGTCTTGTCCCCAAGCAAGAAAGCAGGACACTCCCGCCAGCATTCCTGTGCCCAGGGAGCATTGTCAAGGGATCTGGCTCCAGGCACTAGGGACTTTCCTTCACACCCCTCTGTGACCTCTACCCAGGTGCCTCCAACAGACCAAGGCACACGCTGGAGGGTGACAGAGGCAGTAGAAGCTAGCAGGAAGGTGACTTTTCAAGGTCATTCTGCCTCCTGGGCGTCCCTCTCCCCCTTTGGAAATTGCATTTGGAAATTGCATGTTGGAGCCTGGCACTTACCTGCTGTGGGTGGGGCTTGAGGGCAGCTGAGTCAGGGGTGGGAGGAGAACCCCTCATCCCTCCTGTGCCTTGTCTTGCAGAGTACTGACCTAGCTCCCAGACCTCAGCAGGATGGAAGGTATGAGGTCCCCTCCTGGCTTTAGAGTGCCCATGTGTTAAGGGGTGGGCTCTCACAGGGATTGTCTAGAAGAGTTGAGGAAGGCTGGGGCTTCCTCCTCTGGCCTGTCAGGATATGCAAAGCCTCAGTGAGGCTTCTGGGGCCTTAGAGCTCACCTATGCTAGTATTTGCAGCTGACCCTGGCCTTTTCTGGAGGAGGAGGATGCTGGGGCTATGCTCTGCAGCAACTTAAGCTGAATCAACTGCCATGCTGGGTCAGGGGTAGGGCACCTATCTGGCACTCCTGGGACTTAGTGGCTTGTCACCCTGTGGGGTGGACCCTAAAGTCTTGCGTCCTCCTGGCTCCTGTGCTCTGGGACGTGGGCAGAGTGCCTGGAGTGGGTGGGTTCGGGCTTCTGGCAGTGCCATTCCCTGGCACTGGGCCCCTGCCTGGGTGGTCAGGCATGAGTGCTGCTTCTGTGCAAAGCCGGTGGTCACCAGCCTGCCCCTCAGCTGCCTCTCTCAGCCTCAGGTGCTTCCCCTACAGCTCTTGGAGGCTCTGGCTTCCTCCTGTGTCCCTGTCCAGCTCCATTTCCCTAAGGGGCAGGGCTGGGGGTAGGGACCCAGGAGAAAGCTCTGGGTTCTAGTTTGGGTTCAGGTGTCACTTGGGTAAGTCCCTCCCTCGGTAGGCCTCAGTTTCCCTCTCCCCAGTGGGCTGTGAGGTCCTTTTGTGTAACAAAGGGCTTGGGACCAGCCCCTCACTTGCGCTACTTTGCCACCGGGGCTGTGACTTCTAAGGAGGCAGTCTGCTTACCTCCCTGTCTGAGTAAGAGTTCCATTTGCCCACAGGCCTCCTCCCTGGCAACTATCTCTATGGCAACACATGTTGTGGTTGTCCACTCCAAGTTAGTAGTGCTGGGGCAGGCCAGCAATGGGATGGCCAAGCCAGGGGGCAGGGCAACAGCACAAGCAGGATCATGGGCTGCTGTTCCTCTAGTGAACCCCGAGAAGAGCAAGACAGGAAAGCCAGAGGTGACCAACCCCTGGGGTCCAGCACTCTAGAGGCACCATGGGGTTGCCATCCCAGTCCCTTAACCCCCTCAAGCTCTTAGCTGAGTTTTTAGCCTCCGGGCTTTGTCTGAGTGGGCCCAGAACACCCTGTGCCCACCCCTGCTCATCTGTGCAAGCCTGGGTCACAGAGGCGCCTCTGCCCACTCGTTTAGCCAGTGACTGAGTGTCGCTCCCCTGTTCTCTCCACAGAGAAGCTGAAGAAAGCCAAGATCATCTTTGTGGTGGGTGAGTCATTCGCAAGCACGTGGTGGGCAAGCAGGGAGGGTCTGAGCAGCTACTTCAGAAGTTTGGAACTGGGGCTCTGGTTTTTTGTTTTGTTTTGTTTTGTTTGAGACAGGGTCTTTTCTACATAGCTTGGAACTCTCTGTGTAGCCCAGGCTGGCCTCTAACTCACAGAGATCTGCCTGCCTCTGCCTCCTGAGTGCTGGGATTAATGTCGGTGGACTCTTCCTTGAACTCTGGTCTTCTCATTGATGGACCCTAGAGGTGTCCTTCCCGTGGTTTCAGTATTTGGGTCTCTGAATGCATGGGTGCTTGCAGGTGGGCCTGGCTCAGGAAAGGGCACCCAGTGTGAGAAGATTGCAGAGAAATATGGCTACACCCATCTCTCCACTGGAGATCTGCTGCGGGCAGAAGTCAGCTCAGGATCAGAGAGGGGCAAGATGCTGTCATCCATCATGGAAAAGGGGCAACTGGTGCCACTGGTGAGGGGCCGTGCTGGGGCCCGGGCGAGGGGTGGGAGGCTCTGAGCCTGAGCCCCTGGGGATGATACACTGCCAGGGGTCACCAGGGCCCTCTGTAGTTCTGAAGCCTGTGCTTCCCACCGCCCTTGGCCAAAAGTTGCCTCTAGAAATATGAAGACCCTGCCTCCCACTTTAGTGCCTTGGTGTTCTAGCTCCAGTTCAGTATGACTGGAATGATTCCCTGTCAGCATACAGACCTCCCTGACTCCCCAGGCTTGAGCTCAGACCCATAGCTTTATGCCGGAGTGGTTCCCTTCTGTTTGTATTTGTTTATTTGGAGGAATATGCACATTCTGTGGCACCTGTGTGGCAGTCAGAGGACCCTTGAAGGAACTGGCTCTCTCCTTCCACCATGTGGGTCCTAGGGATCAAACACTGGCCATCAGGCTTGGTGGCCAATGCCCTTACCCACTGAGCCACCCTGCTCATCCATTGGCCCTCTGCTTCAATCATACTTTACCCTTATGCTTAGACTCATAAGCCAAATGTGTCCTTGTCTGTACCCCCATCCCAGACCCTGGACTTGGTGAGAGTGAGGATAGGAAGGCCTGTAGAGCTGTGCCCTCAGGTTCAGAACCTTTCCTGGATGAAAGGGGGTTCACTTAAGGCCAACCATGGAAAGAGGGGCTTTGTGGGACTCACATGCTCCAGGCTTGGGTAGGCCAAGGCCCAGAGAGGCAGGGTGAGAAGGCTCAGGATACCCTGTGCTGCACAACAGGAGACAGTGCTGGACATGCTCCGGGAAGCTATGATGGCCAAAGTGGATTCTTCCAATGGCTTCCTGATTGACGGCTACCCCAGGGAGGTGAAGCAGGGAGAAGAGTTTGAACATCGGGTAAGAGGCCCTTGAGCAGTTGCTGGCCAGGGTCTGGGGCTGCAGCTGAGAAAGAGGGAGGAGGGGTAATGGAGGCTGGGGCTGCAGGGGGAGGGTGGGGAAGGTCATAACTGCCACGAGGAAAAGACATGAGGCTTTGAGGGACTTCACCCTTGTGGGGCTTGTCACCCATAAATGCATGGTCCAAGTGTTGAGCAGCAGGCCATCTTGGAAAGGTGAAGCTGCTGTTGCGAGAACAGAAGACAGGGTCAAGGTGACCAAGCATGGTGTGGAAGAAGGATATTCAACTATGGCTGGGAACCGTGAATGCCAGAGAGAGGATCCATATTTTTTTCCAGCCACAGAGAACCTGGCTGGGGAGAACTGGCATCAGGAATGACAATCCTAAATTTCCACAAGCTTTTGTCCATCAGGAAACAAGATCTATAGAGTGACACCTACCCCAACACCCCCGACATATACATGCACAGACAGACATTTGTTTTTTGGGTTTTTTGTTTTGTTTTGTTTTTGTTTTTCATGACAGGGTTTCTCTGTGGCTTTGGAACCTGTCCTGGAACTAGCTCTTGTAGACCAGGCTGGTCTCGAACTCACAGACATTTGTGCACATGATCCACCTACACAAGCAGTAGGCAACATAGGATGCACACACATGCACAAGGCTGGGTACCCTGCACACACATGCACATGTGTGCTCTGGTTGTAGCACTCACTACAGGGGTGCATACATATGAATTCACATGCTGGCACATACATATATGCTTATAGCTGGGCGTTGGTGGCGCACACCTTTAATCCCAGCACTCAGGAGGCAGAGGCAAGCAGATCTCAGTGAGTTCAAGGCCAGCCTGGTCTACAGAGCAAGTTCCAGGACAGGCTCCAAAGCCACAGAGAAACCCTGCCTCGAAAAACCAAAACCAACCAACCAACCAAACATATATGCATACATTTACACCATATAAGGCCACACAGGTCTGTGGGACTGTAGGTGCTGAATGTGTGTGGGGAATAACAAGGGTGGGGTGGAGGGCTAATGGGCATCCTGATGGGCTGGAGACAGAGTACCTTCAGCCTCACTCCTGCCCACCTCTGTGACGTTTGGTCAGAACAGGATACTGTATGTCACAACCTCTAAGAGTCTGAAATGCTTCCCTTGCTCTGAACCTTAGCTTGCTAACCTGGGGAATGGGAGTTGGTCTAGCTTCCTTGAGGCCACACAGCCTGCAGCAACTCTGAGGCATGCCTTGTCTTTCCCCATTCCCCAGCTGTGTGTGAAACCTGCAACTGTCAGGGCCACATCCAGCAAGTGAACGTGCCTATCAGTGCTACTGTGGAGCTGTCTGGGACTACAGGCTTCACTCAGGGCTTGGTGGCTTCCCGGGAATCCACGTAACTGAAGTTCTCAGATCTGGACACTAGGGGGTGTCAGAACTGTATTAAAGGAGGAGGGATGGGCCTGGAAGTGGCTTGTCCTGCTAACTAAAATGCCCAGAACTGCTTTGGGGTGGGTAGTGTCCAGGGCTTGCTCCTCAGCTAGATGCCCAGATATTTAGCTGTTACCATACCTCCATTACCTCCACCCAAAGTGTGGCTATTGAGTCTGCTGTGTTTGGACTCAGAGGGTCTCGGCACTGATGGTGTCGGACGGGGGCAACAGCCTTGGTCTGGCTCTTGCCACTCAGTTTTCTGTAAGAAAACCTGGTAAATTGCCCAAAGTCAGCAGGTGGTGGGGTCACTCCCTCCTGAAGGCACCTGATGTTTAGCACCCTAAATCCTCAAGCACCAGGAGGCAAATACCAGACTCAGAAGTGCTGGTAGCCTGCCCCGAGGTTACTTGGTTGGACAGAGAGAGGCGGGAGAGGAGCTGTGAGTGACAGCCTGGATGACAGCTGCTTAGAGACCCCTGGTGACTGAGTCAGCTGAGCTCTGAAGGACAGAGGCTCCTGAGGCTGTATAGAAATCCCAACCCAGGCCTAAAGACGGACAGAGAAGGGTGGCCTCCCCTCCTCTGTTCTAGGAAACCCAGAGTCCTCCTTCCCTTACAAGCCCAGCCCAGCCAGTGCCAGGCTTGGGGATCTGGTAGTGGGAGGCAGAGTCCCCACTCTGAGGGATGGTGTGGCCCAGAAAGGGAAAGGTAGCAATTGCCAGCCTCCGTGCAGGGCCCAGCCTGACCAGGGGACACTGTGGAGGGGCTTCGGTGACTGAACGGAGGTCTGGGGCTGCCAGGCCTATTTCTTCACACTTCTCCAAGTCATCTTTGTGATGAGTGGCTTCTACCAGTGACAGTGACACTCAGCTTTCCTTAACAGCCTTCACCCTGTCCCTGCTCTGGTTCCTTTGCCAGTCAAGCCCTCAGCTCCTAATCTGTCAAGAAGAGGGGAGACCAGGGGACCAGGAATAGTCAGGGTCACATCTGAGAAGACTGCCTGGGGGAATGAGATTCTAGCTGAGGCTCAGTTAGTCCCAGTTGTGGCACATGGTAGCAGAGGGACCTGTGTTGGCCTGGCATGGGATGGAGACAGATAAAAGCATAGGTCAGTGTGGTCAAAGGAAGGAGTGGGGAGTAGGACATGACACATAGGTGCTCTAGATCTGGTAAGGACTTTGGGCTTTCTCTTTGAGGTTCTAGGAAGCTGTGGCAGAGGTTTGAACAGATGAGTGACAGGGGCGGATGTTTTGGGGAAGGTCCTCTGGTTCCTTTGGGGAAGGACTGACATTCTGAGTGGGTCTTGTGTAGGGCTTCAGGCTTGGAGGCAGGAATGGGTCCCAATGATACGCTGTCCACCCTACACAGATTGGACAGCCCACACTGCTACTGTATGTGGACGCAGGCCCTGATACCATGACCCAACGACTCCTGAAGCGCGGGGAGACCAGTGGCCGTGTGGATGATAACGAGGAGACCATCAAGAAGAGACTGGAGACCTATTACAAGGCCACAGAGCCTGTTATTTCCTTCTATGAGAAGCGTGGCATTGTGCGCAAGGTGGGGAACTCCTCACGGTAGGACCTTAGGCCAGCCCTCCCCCTCTGCCTCAGTTTCTCCTTTCCCCCCTAGTTGAGTGAGTGGCTTGGAGTGGGGCTGTGTGGGTCCTGCCATGGCACCGCTGCCCTCATCGTCCGTGTCCCCACAGGTCAATGCGGAAGGCACTGTGGAGACTGTCTTCTCCCAAGTCTGCACCTACCTGGACTCCCTGAAGTAACTGGGGCTCTTGGCCAGCTCCCAGCCTGCCCCACCCTTGCCCCCTGACCCCAGGCAGCCTGGCTCGAGCCCAGCACCTCCACCCTGCTGGGCTGTGCACAGACACAGGAAGCTGCTTTATCCTGTTCCATGAACATCCGAGCGAGCACTAAAGGAATTGCCAAGGACGTTTGGGCTCACTCCCTTTACTTTGCTTCCTTTGAGGTGATTCATGCTACCACAGCCAAGGCCCTGGCACTGAGCACTGCCTGCCCATTCCTGCCTATGCCTCTGCCCCCTGTCTTGTCTCCCTCCAGCTCTGCTGGGATCCTAGGCCCTTCATTAGCCAAGCTATGTCAAGCCCGGGGACTCGGGTTGACAGACGGCTCCTGGGCTCTGAAGCTCAGCCCCTTTCTCATAGCCATAGCTTTGGCTCAAAGCCATCATCTCTGTGGAGTTTTATTTTTTTCTTGCCTTTTATTTAAGACAGCATCTCATGTGTCTGAAGCTGGCCTCACACCTGCTATGTAGCTGAGGGCAGCTTCAGCTTTGATCCCCCTGCCTCCACGTCTCGAATGTTGAGATTACAGGTGTGCCCCACAACCACTCCTGGTTTATGGGGTTCTGGGGATCAATCTCACGGCCTTGTGTATACTAGGCCAGCACTCTATGCATTGAGCCAGATGCCTAGGCTGAGCAGGTTTTCGATGCCTGACCTGGGCCGTGGGCTACTGGGTGGCAGGCTACTGGCTACAGGGTGTGCAATGGATATATAGCTAAGTGGGAAGCTGAGGTCAGGGGTGGCCTTCCTGAGGAGAGGATTCAGAGGCTCCCCTGGTATGGCCTTGCCAGGCCTCACCACCCTTTGGGCTGTTTCCATTTCTGAAACGTGTTCTATTATGTTGTATCCCAGCCGTTAGCCTTAGAACATACCGATCAAGGAGTGTGAGTTGCCATAGACATGGATGTGAGACCAAGGACCAGGCCTGGAACCCGGAGAGGACACCAGGGGTCCCCAGAAGAGCTGGCACCTCTCATCTCATAGGAAGGCTCTGTTGGTACTCACCTATCCTTGACCCTACCCCCATCACTAATGACTTGCCCTTTAGGTCCAGATAGCCTGTAGCCAGCCCTCACAGCTGCCCTAGGGACACCTGCCCTGGGGGTGACGGTGCTCATTCCTTTACTGCCAGTGGGGCCACCTTTCTTTTTGCATCATCTATTTAAGCTGTTCTTCAAAATAAATAAACATTTCAGTTATAAGAGGTGAGTATATTGAAAGAACAACTTGAAACATGAATGTTAGGAGAGGGCAGACATCACCTGGCACAAACTTCTGCTAGTCTAGGTTTTGGGGGTGAGGTCTCTACACCTGTTCCTCTGTCCCCCATGTTGACTTTAGGAAAGCACAAGGGTCTGGAGTCCCACACCACTCTAACAACTCCCCTCCACAAGTGCCATGCACACACACATAATTATAGGCCATACATGTAATTGTGCAGGCATACGCTCTTACACGGATGTCTACTCAGCCCTGCTGAGCATAGTTGTCTTCAGGTCAGCATAGGCATGAACAGGAATGCATGGGAGAGGAGGAAGCTGGAGAAAAGGGCCTGAAAACAGCATTGAAGCTCAATTAATGAAAACCTGGCTGATCAAACCTGAAACCTTTATATCAATGGATCACCTTGTCCATTAGCATCTGAGTGTACCGAGTTCCAGGACTCTGAACATACCCAGAGCTCAGCATACCTAAGCCCCTTATGTAAAGTGCTGCAGGAACTGGCCTGAGGCACCAGCCTGAGCGCCTACATAGAGGGGGAGGGGGCTATTAATTGCTGGCCTGGTAGCTTATGCCTATATCATGAGGCAGGAGGATTGTCACAAGTTGATGGAGGTCAGCTTGGATTATGATATAAGAACTAATATACATTAAAAAAAAAAAAGAGGCTGGTTGTGGCAGCTCACACCCATAATCCCAGAATTCAAAATGCAAAAACAGGAGATCATTGAAGATGCAAGCCAAGCAATTGTACCTGAGGCTCTCCAAGCAGCCCAGGCAACAGAGTGATGCTATCTCTCACACCCTACTCCCTGCTAAAGAAAGAAACAGAATACACTAGAACTAGACCTGCATATACCTTCTAGTATATTCTATGTGGTCTCTAGGTCACTGATAGATAATTCATTAGACAGTATATATTTGTCATTAGACTGTAATGACAAGAAAGTCATTTCCATATAGATATGGAGTGGGGGAATCCTTGTTTATTTTGAGACAAGGTCAGGTTATGTAGCCCTGGCTGGCCTGGAACTTACTATGTAGAACAGGCTGGCCTTGAACTAATAGAGATCTGCTTGCCTCTGCCCCTAGAGTGATGATTTTAAAAGCCTGTGCCATCACAGCCTGCCCAAAAAATCACTCTTTTAAGATGAGGCTTGCTGTGTTTGTCAGGCTGATCTTGACCTCCCAGGATCAACCTCCTTCCTCCACCTCCCAAGCCCTGAGGTCACAGACAGGTGTCACCACATACAGCTGCCAACATGCCACTGAAGAAACCTCAGTCCTCAAACACTTGAAGATGACTTGGAGGAACCAGGACATCTTCTTGAACACTGTAGCCTATTGTGGTAGTGGCAGGATCCCCACTGTCACCCAGCCAATACAGAGTCCTTGTGTGGCTTCCCCTTTCTAAACTTCCTCGAAGCTGGTTTGCTGAAGCAAGGGTGTGATGCAGGACCACACATTGCTTTTGGCCAAGGATGGCGCCGAGGATGGAGGCTCTGCAGGTCCTCATGGTCACAGGAGGCAAGGGCTCTGCCAGTGAGCTCCAGCCGGGACAGACCTCTCTCCATTGAGGACAGCTCTGCCCCTAGTTTAGTTTGGTTTGCGATAGGACAGCTATCCTACTGAGGCGGCTCCTCCCAAGCCCATCTCGACTTACTCCTGGAGTCACAAGTTCTCTTTTGCACTATCCTTCCTGCATAGCTACGGCTATCAGGAAAGGATGTGTTCAAGTTGAGCCTTAAGGACAAGGGGCCCTTGTAGGTGGGGCTTGTGGAGGGTTTACAGTCAGGAAAGAAGGTTTGTAACCCCAGCCCTTGGGAGGCTTGAGGCAGGAGGATTGTCATGAGCTCAAGATCAGCCAGGGATACAATGGCGCCACCCTGTCTAAAAGAAAAGTCAAAAACTGGGGTCTGGAGAGATGGGTTGGTGGCTAAGAGACTTTGCCACTCTTCCAGAGGTCCAGAGTTGTATCCCAGAGATCCACATGGGAATGGGGATGAGGGCTCACCATTCCCTGTAACTCCAGTTCCATGGGACCCTGAGACCTCTTTGGATTCCAAGGGCACACACATTCATGTACGTACACACATAAAAAATAATAAAATGTCTTTTTTTTTTTTAAATCAGGTCTAGGGCTGGGGCTGTAGCTCAGTGGGTAGTGCTTGTCTAACACAGAAAGTTCCAGTTTGATCCCCAGTGCTGTGTAAACTAGACACAGTGGCACACCTGTTGTTGCAGCAGGAGGACCAGAAATGTAAGGTCATCCTCAGCAACATAGCAAGTTTGAGGCCAGCCTGGGTTACAGGATACCTTGTCTGAAAATAAATAAGTAAATAAAACAAAAACAAAGTAGGTCCAGTGCTGGGGTGGCCTCCAGCAGCCGGCCCTCAGGTCATACTGTAATCTGCTCAGGAAAGCCAACCCTACAGTGGGAGAAGCAGGGGTCACAGAAAGGCAGTAGCCTGCTGATGGGAAGGAGGGTCTTCTCTGGAATCACCGCTAGAATAGCGTGGGTGTGGTAGACATCAGAAGGTCACCGATGTGTCATTGTCGTCTGGTCTCCAGGGATGGTCCAGGCAGCTGCGACCTGAGGGATTGTTCTCTGAAGCTTGTAGGATTAATGCCCCTATACCCAAAGAGTCTCAGAGGGCATACTCCATGGAGGGCATTGGTAGGGTGGTGGCCTCAGATGCCTCCCCTAGACTGTTCCCCCATGCCTTGGCCTCAGGGTCCCCTGAGCGCCTGGGCCGGAGGCACTGAAGTGGGAGAGGAAGGAAGCTGGAGCAGAGGAGGCCAAGGCTGTCGCCTCCCAGCCCTGAGAGGGGCCTCGAGTAAACAGGAAGGCCTGGCGGCTCCACGATGGGGGTGTTCAGAGGGCTGGGGGCCAGGAGCCCTTCTGAATATGTGCAGACTGTGAACACCAGGTTGCTAGGGAAGTAGGCCCAGAGAGGTTGTTGGGCTTCCCCCAGGTCACACAGCGACAAAACTTACCTGCGCTTTCAGCATCTGTTACCCTCCCCTGGAGTCAAGTCTCACTTTCCCCTCTATAAACTCAGAACACATCATCCAGAGGTTCTGGGGAGTCCTTGCTCAGGGGAGCCCTCAACCTCCTGAATGGTTTTAATGAGTTTTTCATAAAACGTCTTCATAAGTATATAAATTGCTTAATTTGTCAGGAGTATTAAGAACATTAAGACTTTTTTTTCTGTAACAGTTCTCCCTATGTAGCCTATTCTGGTCTGGAACTCAAAATTCTCCTGAGTGTTGGGGTTACAGGTCCACTGATACTTCAGGTCTTGGGGCGCAGGTTGCCACAGGAAGGTCTGTGTAGCCCCTGCCGTGGGGGCTTTGTTCTCCTAATGCAGGGACTCTAACCCTGGGGCCAGCTGCATTTGGGGGAAGTTATTCTCTCTCTGGGAGACTCTGTCCTCAGGCTCATATGCCTCTACACACATATCCTGGGGTCTCACTCTGTCACTTAGGAGACCTGGCATTGTGCAAGCAGATGACAAAGCCCATCCTCTGATGTGTCAGGAATGTCTGCTGTCTCGAGCACCCACGTCAGGCAGCTCACAACCATCCATAACCCCAGCTCCAGGGGATCAATGCCCCTGGCCTCCTTGGGCACCACATGCATAAGCACATACTTACATGCAGACACATACCCCTACTTAACTAAGAATCATACACGTGGAGCTGGGTATGGTGGCTCATGTCTTTAATCCCAGCACCCAGGAAGCAGAGGCAGGTGGGTCTTTGAGTCGAGGCCAGCCTGGTCTACAGAGTGAGTTTCAAGACAGCCAGGACTACACAGAGAAACTAGTCTTGGAAAGAAAGAAAGAAAGAAGAAAGAAAGGATGGAAGAAAGAAAAACACAAAAGAAAGAAACAAGGTAGACCC